GGTCTTGGAAACACTGCGCTTGCGAGGGAGTGAAGAATCAAACGTGACCTTCCGGATTACTCTATGGATGGATAAGGCCAGAACGAAAGGGTCAAATCTCCATGTTGAGGTGGAGAACCGCTGAATGTCTCCAGGCAATATGGCCGACCAGAACCAGTAGCCATGGTAAACTGAGGGTAACGGTGGCCAACATACTGGCTGTACCGTGCGCTCAAGACAGAATATACAGAATATCTCAGTCATCGAGAGCCTGTCGGTTAGGAGAACAGAGAAAGTTATCGCTGTGTTTTGTTGTGGTGGATACTGCTCTACAGAGGCCCAGGTGGTTGTGCTCGCAGCGATGGTATTGCCCGACTCTGCACTCTGAGTTAACCACTCGTTCTATGAATTGTCAAGCTGCTTTCAGCTATGATAGTCCGTGCTTTTACAACTTAAGTTGCCAGTTGAGACCGCGATAGTAGTGATATTGGATGTACACAGGCGTATTTCCTCTTCATTGCCGGATACTTATGGCTAGTATAAACCGAAGAGTCCATTCCTCTTGAGGCCGTATAAAGTGATGCAGTTATAGTCGGTCCCCCAATCAAGGTCCCTAGCCCCAGCCTAAGGATAAAATATGGATGTTGGATGTATGTCAAACGAAATATCGTAGGTGGCCGCAATGACCTGCCAGGGCACCATGTATCCCGCAAAAAGGCCCTAATTCATCTCAATCAATCCCACTATGCTTGTGTGCGCCGGATACTTATGGCTAGTATAAACCGAAGAGTCCATTCCTCTTGAGGCCGTATAAAGTGATGCAGTTATAGTCGGTCCCCCAATCAAGGTCCCTAGCCCCAGCCTAAGGATAAAATATGGATGTTGGATGTATGTCAAACGAAATATCGTAGGTGGCCGCAATGACCTGCCAGGGCACCATGTATCCCGCAAAAAGGCCCTAATTCATCTCAATCAATCCCACTATGCTTGTGTGCAATTGAGACGCGATGCAGAGAACAGTGTGATTAGGCCAGGTCCCTGGTGGATTTAGCGGCGATCATCCACGCAGCGCTGGAAGGATGACAAACCAATTTGCAGTGCGAGTTGTGGTCATTGCCTGCACGACACAACACACGGAACGGATTGGAACCTTTCTGCTTGCTGATCATGACCCTGGCCCTGGCTGGATGCCTGACGAGGTGGGATGTCGGGCGATGGAGCGAGTGACCTTCGACTGCGATCATTCTCAGCTTGGTCTGGAGGTGGGGTCGGCTGGAGTTCTGTCGCCGGCCTCTGCTGCGTTGAGCTATGTGGACCATTTTCGGTCACGGCGGCGTGTAGTCGCAGTCCCAGGTATCGTGTCCGACCGAAGCAATTACGACACTTCATAGTACCCAACATCCACCGTCCAGTGCGTAGATCCTTTCATTTGACGAGGAGGCTCACTGTGCTTCATAGGATCGTGCACAATGAGAAGTTCCGTATTCCTCCCTGTCCCTGGCCTTTATATTGTGCGGAACCTGTGACTAACAGTCGACCATACGTGCTACATTTAGCGCGTGGGATTCCTGTTGATCAGCCAGCTGTAGCCCTCTGGAGTCAAGAATAAGCCTGTACCAAACGAACTTTTAACCAAGCCGGGGGACGCCAAAAACGCATGGCCTGGTTAGCACACAGATCCTGCGGGAACCGCGCAAGCCCTATATCCATAGCATCCTCTGCCAAATATCCATGGCCAGGTTAATTGAGAAGCTTATTGTGGCCGTTATGCCCGCCAGTCGTGGAGCCAACTGCCCGCGCCTGACTTGACCGCAGCTGCGCTGTAGGGTATGGGCAAAATGTTCATCAATCAGAACACCGCGAATCGGACACGTCGTTCACGTTGGGAAACCCGATAAAGGGCTTTCAGTGGATAGTGGGTAAATCGCATCCCGAGACCAAGGTCAGGCAAAGGCAAGCTCCCCAGATACGTTTATTTGAACGTGAGACGGGTTTGACTTAGTCTGCACCATCGTATTCGCCATATAAAAGGAGCCTCCGCATCGATTTCTGGGACCAGAAGTATCCACGACCACTCTTCCATTCCAGCAAAAGCATCATCAAACGAAACGAGCCGTTGCAACGAACAGGGGCGGCCAGTCAAGCGCAAGCGCGAGGACTGGGCGAGACCAGGCCTGGGACACAGTGACAACGGCAGGATATCCAAGCCTGTTGAGCCCTGCCAGCAGCCGTCACAGGTACCTTCATTCTCGCACGAAGCATATGTTTGAGCTTCTGGCGGGAGCTAACAATTCCCAGGCTATGACACAGCCACTCCCCAGAGGACCGCTTGCAAAAGATGAATAATTTGCTTCGATCAGCTCGGCCGCCGAGGCGTTCCGGACCCTGATCGCAGGTTGTAACAACCGGATGACCAAAACCCAGTCCTTGCAGAGCAAGCAGTACGACTGATGGATCTCTACCGGTAGCTCTAGGAATCGTATGTTGCGAAGCATGCCGAGAGCTCGCGCCTCGAGAAGGAAAACAGTCAGTTGCAGGTGACCCACGCCAGCCTCGTGGTCGAAAACACCCAGTTGAACAGTCGCTGCCGGGGCGAGAAAGCCCGCTTATGCCACTTTCGAGAAGCGGTCCAGAAATTGCGGGACGGTGTAATTGGCGTGTTTGAAAAGTGGGAGAATCTTACGATGATGGAGGCTGCTGCAGCGGGCGGCGCGGGCGAACCGACGCCGGAGAACGAGAATGTGGCGGTCATTGTGCCCGCGGTGCATTTTCAGGAGGATGAAGGCACCAGCGCTTCTTAGTAGAGGTGGTGGATAGGTACCTGAAGTACGAGTAACGGAAAGTGACTTATATCAATGCAGAGGAGAGAAGAAGAGATTTGCAATCGAAACAGCTTCGCACATAGCACCTAAGCACGATGTATTCGAAACGCCAGAGCTGTAATCAAGGATTGTAGACCCTCTATATTCTTTCAAATTCCGTGACATTGCCCACATGGACATGAACGATACAGCCGGACGGCAGTGACATTGCACAATCATTGTCATCCTGCGATAACTCTGATGGATCCTTCTGGGTAACCCAGTGTTTAATGACCGTTGTCGCAATGCTCAGTAGTCCTCGGCGATTGGCCTTGGCGAGGCATCGTAGTAAACCAGGAATCAGCTGTCTCAAGAGGGCTGCTGCGACCGTAGTCTGGCCATAACATGGATGACGTCGCAGAACCAAACGCACAAATTCTGTGCCGTTGATTGACCCATCTGATGCTCGGAGTGCTTCGCTGACGCAACGGCGCATGATTTCCAATTGGTGCCGTATTGGCCCGGCACCTCTGCGGTGCATATTGTGCCGAAAGCGTCGGTATCTGGACGTGTCCGCCGAATACAACGAAAGAAGCCGGAGCATCTCTATGCTGAAAAGGTCTGGTTCAGGAGGTAGGCCGCTGCACTCCAAGACACTCTTGCGGTCACCAACATCGGGTTGTTGACAAGACTGTATATCGATTGCGTGTAGCGCCAACGGCGGTGCGGCTATAGTGGTCTCACATGGCACTGCTGCGATGGTGCGTTGGATTGGAGGAACGTCATCGTCTATTAAGTTCCTCGATAGATTGTCACAGTGGCCAAAGATGGGGTCACCCTCGTTGGCACCGTTGATCACAAAGGTCCTGTCCACTGTGGGTCCTTCCCTCCAAGTAGCCATGAAGATAAGGCTCCTGGTGTCTGACTGCAATTGCTTTTGTTGGGTGGTCTTATACTGTAGTGGGCTGCGGAGGACTGCTTTATATGTCTACTCACGCTCAAGCAGCGGCGCGGTCTTTACTATAACTACGACCGGAGTGTCACGGCTGACAGTCTCATCAAATGCCATACATGGGAGACGAAACATGCGGGCCTGTTCACTCGTATAGGGAGCTTTCTACTGGATTGTTATGGCACCTTTTTGTGAACGGTTCCCTAAGTAATCAAAGGCAGACAACAAGGGGCGGGAACCCGCAAGAACGAAGTGTCTGTGTGCCCGGACCACGTGCTTGGTAGTTGCAGCAGTACTTCTCTGGTCACTTTTACTTTGCCCCAAAAACTCCATATCTCAATCAGTTCCGATCAGCCTCCGTGGGAGCCAAAGCAGTGTCTTCACCGTTGACCTGGCGAACTCGACGCTGCCTCGATGATTGGACAGCTTCATGTACATGGCGTTGAAGATTACTTGATGCTTCTTCCAAGCTGCATACTATGCCTTGTTCCCTAAGAAGATCCTTTCTTAGTTGCGTGCATCTCATTTTCCAGCCTTCGGATATGTCAGTGACCTCCGTGACCATACGTTGGAGGCGATCGAGCTCCGCTCGCTGTTGGTTGTTTACTCGTACTAAACGCTCAATCCTCGCAGTGAGCGACGCAGCATTATTCGACATTGACGGACGCTGAATGGGAAGAATAAGCGGACTAGCTCCACACCGAAGTCCGTTGAGGGTGGCCTACCTCAGAGCCCGGTGTCACGTCTGCCACTGCAACAGGACGGACGGCCTCGATCGACCGACCGATATCTCTGCATATTGCATCGTACAGGCCCACCGACCCAATGGCCAGACTAGTGTTCATTCAATGTGCCTTTGCATCAGTAACCGACCAGGCATACCCATCCCTTGGGCCTGCTTCAGTCGTACAGCCCGGGGATAGACCCTCACCGCAAGCCGGTCATCTAGATATGTCAGCTTGTTCAATATTGTTGAGCGGATTTGGGCAGGAAAGGAGTTACAGATATGGTTCGCCAGTGCCTCGCGGCATTGTGGGCGTAGCCGAGTGCGCTTTTCATTGCTATCTCGGGACTTTGGACACTTCCCGAAGACCCATGCGAATTGCGTTCATTCGCGGTCGTCTATCAGGAACATATCGTGTCCATTTTGCTTCTTTTATCCAGCATGGCCAAGGTTGCCTCATCTTATGTGCAAGTGATGACCAAGGCGTCTAGGTACCAAGAGTATACTTCTGTTTGCCCATGGTGAGCCCCTGCCATATGAGGGTTGCCGACTTCAACCGCTTCAGTTCAACAGTACTTGTGATCACTTGCTGAGGCAAGACGGGTTTTCGGTTATTGAATGTGCCCAGGTCTGGTCCTGGGGTACAGTAGTGGTTTGTGCAACAAAACCGAATGGGTGGAACTGCCCACAACAACCCCTCCGTCATGAACGAACTAGATCTTACCCGTTTGTCGTATGTTGGCAATTTGCCGGACCTTATTTGTAGCATGTTTTATCTGCTAGTAAAGTTGCTCTACACAGATCGTCTGACAATTGTATTCCATAAAACAGAATTTATGTCTGGTCGATATTAACACTCGTTGTCCATATGAACAACGCCAATGCCCAATCTCCCCAAGATGAGGAATCAACGAGAGGTAGGCGACTAAGGCTAATATTCAAATATCCACTCCTTTGTCAACCGTTGACCCTGTAAAACTCATAGCCTTGTCTTTTATACCCACCTACGTCTTCTGCATCGCTCGCTGCTTTGACACAAGGCGTTGGTTATGTTTTCAGAGCTTAGAGTGGATGCCATATTCTTCCTTTCCAGCAAGCTCGTCTTATCATCTTCACTTTCCTAGTCCGCCTTATCGCATTAGGAGGCAAGAGAGATGTCGTACTCTGGACAGCGTCGACCGACCACCCCAATCACCCTGCCAGTTACCTCAGACACGAATACTGCAGCGGATGCAGCCTCGCCGGAGTCATTCTCTCCGTTCTGTCCGTGCTGTACATCGTCGCCCTCCGACGAGACGAATCCTTCATTCGACATAAGCTACCCGTCTGCGGAACTGGAAGAACGGCTCCTGCGGACCCTCACGTTCTACTCGCCTTCACCCTTCCGCATTCAAGCCATAGCTGTTCTGCCACACGATTCTCGGGTGACTAAGAACTGGTTGCTGATCGAGTTGCTTTGCCATCGTGTCTTCGCCGCACTGCCCGACCAAGGTACTATTCGCCGGGTCAGCTCGTCATACCATGCACGCGCCAGTCCCGGCGATGTGCTGCTCATCACCGCCTACCCGGTCACGCAAACGTCCTTCCGATGGCTCGAAGCAACCATAACCAAGGGCAATGAGCTCATGGCCACCGTCACGGCTCTATATGATGGACCTGTCTTGGGAGGAACGGCTGATATGAGACGCCGAGATCAAAGCGATCATGCGGATGATTTCAACCGATTGACGACTACGGGCTCCGCACATGAGCGTGTCTGACGTCCAGGCCTTGGGTGAGAAGACGCAATTGGTGGGAGCGTCGGTTGAAGAAATTAAAACTTCGCGACAATGATGTCTTGAGATTGTCCACGAGGGAGGTGATGCTCTCGAAGTGATCCTACGCTCGCCGGATGGGTGGGGTGAGATGGCGGGTCTAGATTTGGTCTGGTACATTTAGCTGCTGGTAGCTGGCAATATATTAAGAGATATTCAAGGGGATATGCTATTGTACCCATTAGTCAATCCCGCCTATTCTACCTATTCCTCTACTGCCCAACGACAGGTATATGAGAAAGATACGAAGAGATCGAGCTCATGGTGCATCCATTTAGTCTGAATTTAGGTTCGTGAAAGATCTTTGTTTCTTCTTGCTCGGCTTGTAAAAGATATTTTCACGGTATACTGTCTGAAGATGTTATGGAAGATATCTTTACTACCTCGATCGAAAGTACAGTAAACCGTTTCAATGTGCAACCCCCCCGGTTCATATGCCTGCAACTTGTGTGTCTGCTCCAACGGAACCAGGATTCTCTTCAATAGCGGATCCGTTACCCTTTTCCTCCCCAGTAGCGATAGAGCTCTGTGGTCTGTTTCCATTATCAGATCTGTCCCGTTGTCGCAGAACATGGGTTAATATGACCTCGAACGACTCCGACTCGCGCCCGTCGTTTGCACGCTCCTGCAGAAAGTGGTCTATAACCGCGCCCATCTGCTGGTTTGTCTCATATAAGACATCTGCCAATTGGACTGCCTCATCCCGCTCAGCGGTGGTTTTCTTCAGCGCCTCACGTAATGCATGACACTCGTGTTTTTGAGTTTGCAGGTCACGATCCATTTGAAGCGCTTGAGCACTTATCTCAGCAACAATACGCAATACATTCTGACCCACTGTTAGAACACTCATTAATTGATAGCAACTGACTTACGGACGAGTCCATTTGGGAAGGCGGCTTTGCGCACGCGGACAATGTAAGTGTGGTGATTAAACGAGTTCGAGAGTCTGAACAGTCAGAGATGATCTCGGGGCTGGCTGCTATATATTCCATCAGGTCAATAATCATCAGTATCTTCTGAACTACGGTGGTGTCCGCTGAGATGTGATGGTCCTTTCAGCAATTGACCCGTCAAAAATTTTCTGGCATGGAATCTCCTGGTCTTTTACCTTCTGCACACCTGTTTGCTTGAACATCCACCATGGTTGCTTGAAATAAAACGCTCTTACCTGATCGTCAATAGACGAATGTGCTCGCCGGGATCTCTACGGTTGATTAACGGATTCACAAACCAGTATTGAGATAGACCATTTCATGCTGATATCATCGAATTCACCGGCAACTACATCATTTACCACACAATTTGGGAATTTATTCCTTTTATAATATGCATTGTATTATGGGTGACTGGTACGTTATAGTATAACTTACACTTACTCAGGCGCAAGGGTTTTGAGATCCATCCGTCATATACCGCCACAAAATTGACCATGTGGCGTGCATTTCAGTCGAAGAACAGATAAAACCACAGACGTAAATTTTTACATCGCCAATCAATTGACCGCCTATGGCTTTCCGTGATACCTTGTCTTAGTAGATGGCGGTAAATGTGTCGTTGTGTGTGATTTTTCCTAGATTTGGTTGAGGTGTTTAGATCGCCCAAATTACGGGCATGGGTTTTGGGCTTTCTCGCTGATTGACTGATACCCGCAGTTCACAAAATTGGGTAATTCTGCAAGGGATGTATCTCAGAGGTAGATAATATGCCCTGCTCTTGTAAGTAGGCATACTTCATAACCGGGGGGTGATAACGGAGTATCGGACACTAGTTGATTGACCAGTTATGGAGGGTCCGGGACAATTTAGTGTCGTGAATCCCGTCGCTGGTAGCGCAGAAGCATGTTGTTGCGAAAC